TTTAAGGAACAGGTAAGATTTCTCTAGATGGAGACTGGGGAGAGAGCCTTCCGGATAAAGGCACAGGGACGCATGTGGCTGGAAAGCAGTGGCCTGTGAGAGCTTTGCTGCCACGTTGGGTGTATTTTCTTACCAGAGGATGAAAAGCTTTGGGATCATTTTGGGTAGAGCTTGGCTACCACAGGGCAGAACAGGTGGCATCTGAGTTGGCTCCAGGTAGCCACTGCGGGTTTGAAAATTGGGGAATGATATTACCAGAGCAGAACTTCAGGAAGAATGACCTGCTGCTGAGATCTGGGCTGGACTTGAGCGGGGAGAAAGAGCAGGACTAGAGGCAGGAAAACCAGTTAGAAGTCTGTTATGGTTGAAGTCAGAAGTACGGAGGGAAGTTAAGGAAGTAGTGAAAGTCTGAACTGGGGGACTGTAGGGGAATGGAAAGGAAGGCATGGAAGAGCAGGACTAGAGGCAGGAAAACCAGTTAGAAGTCTGTTATGGTTGAAGTCAGAAGTACCGAGGGAAGTTAAGGAAGTAGCGAAAGTCTGAACTGGGGGACTGTAGGGGAATGGAAAGGAAGGCATGGGTACAAGAGGAATAAAAAAGTTAGAATTAACAGAACTTTTCAATTGATTGGACAGAGGAAGCCAAAAACGTCTTGGATGTTTCCTATTTGAGTGAATGTTTGGAGGTTCCAGCCGGGGAGCGCAGCTACTCGTAGACCCTCGATCGAAGAACAGGCCTCTCTACTGCGGAAGGTTATCTTCTTCGACCGAGGGTGGATGTTTCTTATTTGGATTATGAAAAATGTGACAGTGCCATTAGCAGAAATCATTAAACCAGGTTGAGGAACAGTTTATAAAAGGGAAGATAAATCTGATTTTGGGAGCTTCCACACATCCAGTGGAACTAAAATTTCTTATTTAAATATCCCTCATTGTAATTTAATTCTAATAGAATTCTTAAAGCAGGGCACTGATTTGTTTAACACAATAGTTATCTGCAAAAGAGGAATCTGCTTCCCAGAACCAATGGCAATGTTTGGAGACATTCTGGGTTGCCATAATATGGGGAGGGGCTGCTACTGATATTTTGTGTGCAGAGGCCAGGAATGCTGCCAAACATTCTACAATGTTGGATGGTCCCCCCCTACAACAAAAAATTATCCAGCCCAGAATGTTAATAATGCAGAAGTTGAGAAACCTTGCTTTAACATAATCTAAAAGCTCAAATTCCAGGAATTTTAAGGCTTGTTATATTTTGGGTGAGACAGTGCCATCTAGTGTCAAAATATAATATCTATCCTCGTTCTCTGTTGATCACTAAAGGACAACAGATAAAAAATATTCAGAAAGCTAAGACATAAAGAGATGAAGAATATCCGCCAGTAGGAGAACTGTCTAGGGTTTACAGGAGATGCGATGGGAAGGTCGAGTGTACAGTCCAGTAGCAACCATGGAATTAGAAAGAGCTCTTTGGTTTGAAGAAATTTTATAATACAAGTCAATATGAAAACAATATTTTACAGGATGCATTCTATATAAAATGTGTTTTATTCTATTCAAGTTGCCTAAATTTTACTACTGTTACTGCATACATGAAAAAAGAAAACAAAATCTAATAATTCTGCTGAATCATTGATTGAAATATTTATTTCTTAAGGATGTAACCTATTGCATTTTGTTTTACTAACAAAGACTGAAAATAGATTGAAGAGATTTTAAAGTTATGAAAAATTAGGATTAAGAGCACTAGAAATTTCTATTTGCTAAAGGATATATTTTTGCCTCAAGGAGCAGCATTCTGCATGTCTTAAATATTACCTTCCCTACTAGGTTGTAAGCTCCCTGAGGGCAGGAACTGTGTCATTCAATCTTTGAATCTCCCACAGTATGTAGCATAGCATCTTTTTTTGTTTGTTTTTTGGCATAGCATCTTATACAGAGTAGACACAAATTATTTTTTGAGTGAATGAATTTATTTTTCTACCAGAAATCCTTGCCTTGAAGTGAAGAAAAGTTTCAAGGCTTTCTAAGCAGTTTCTATCTGTTCTCTTGGGTTACATGCCAGCTGAGGGCACCTGGCAGAGAGAACACCAGAGACCTGAGCACCGGGAGCTGATAACAGAGAGCTCCGATTCATTTCCCTGGTGAGCCTGGAGTGAACTGTCATGTGATGACCATTCCCAGGGCTGTTTTGGACTGGTGTGTGAATTGCAGATTCCTCTCTCTAATATAAGATTTTTTCATCCAGCAAATATTTATTGAATATCTACTTTGTGCTAGGTACTCTTGTAGGCGCTAGGGTTATCACAGTGAACTTAAGCCTAAAAATTCCTTAGAGAGGCAGGTTTTGAATTGATGAATTAGAATAAAGATGTGTATTGTCCTTTCCTCACACTTTCCCAGTTAGCATAGTATCTTCTATGTAGAAAATGCAATTGATCAATGATCTCAGAGCAGTTCACAGCTATGAAAGACCTCTCCTTCCACAAGCGC